TTGTCAACGCTGACGGCTCTCTAGCTCGTCCCTCGGGAGCATCTTTGTCCCCTCCTATAGGAACTCCCGGGAGATTCTCAGACTCCTAGGGGGCCATGTGGCGGAGCTGAGAGAGGAATGAGCTGTGCTGATCCGTGTGAAACAGCAGAGCGGTGTAGACCGCATCAGATCCAGTCTCCCCGAGCGCACCTGTTGGCTACGGCCCTGCCCACTAGCAGAGGATTTCTGTGTCTCCTGTTTCTGTTCTACTCTCCAACGCTGGTCTCCACAAGACATGCTTCACCGGCTCTGTCTCCGATGGCCCATCCCGGGTCCCATCGGCAGCAGGCCACCCTTGGACGGCGTGGTCAAGACCAGGCTTGCTGGTCTGCTCAAACCAGTGTCCTCTGAGCCACAGCCAAGCAAACATTTTAAACACTGAGTGAATGAAATTTCAAAGGGACAGCAAATACTTAAAAACTATGAAAAAAGAACATGTAGATAAAGTGTAAGTGATGAAGAAGTAAGAAGCAGACCTCGTGTTCACATCCCCAACAGGATGGCCCGGAAATTACAAGTCGGGCAGAGCTCGAGGATGTAAGGACAGTAACCGAAAGTGAGCTTGTTCTGAACGTGCACCAAGAATTTGCTGTGAGGGGCGCCTGGCCGGCTCAGTCGGGGGAGTGTGCGACTCTCGATCTCGGGGTTGTGAGTTCGAGCCCCACATTGGGGGGTAGAGGTTATTTAAAAAAATTAAAGTTTAGGGGCGCCTGGGTGGCTCAGTCGTTAAGCGTCTGCCTTCAGCTCAGGTCATGATCCCAGGGTCCTGGGTTCGAGCCCCACATCGGGCTCCCTGCTCAGCGGGAAGCCTGCTTCCCCCCCCTCCCACTCCCCCTGCTTGTGTTCCTGCTCTCACTGTGTCTCTCTCTGTCAAATAAATAAATAAAATCTTTAAAAAAAAAAAATTAAAGTTTAAAATAAAAAAAAAAGATTTCGAGGTGGACACTGTGTGGCTCAAAAACAAAGAGTAAATACTTCAGAGGCATCTCAGAAGGCCCAGGGATTAAACATTCCCAATGCTATCTGTGGAAATGAAGAAACAATGAAAATATTTGGGGCAGATACCAAAACCTTTTGAGAGTAATCTACTGAGAATGTAGAAGCCCAGTGACGATTGACCCCACAGTGGAGGAGGTCGCCTTGTTAAGCCTGTGGAGCGGGGGGCTAAATGTCATCCATGCAGTAGAGCAAATCCCCCGTGCAGGCGGAGGGCGCACTCACAATGGTGCGTGGGCATAAGCAAGTCCTGGATGCAAGCCTGGATGCAAGATGACACCCTCAAGCAATGTGCATAAGTCTGACACGTGGGTCCCCACGAACACGCTCAGTGATATTCCCATCTGCAGATGGACCACAGGTGACACGTTCACACCACAGGAAGTATGAGCTCTTGAATCTACCGCTCCGTTGAACTTTTTAACTCATCTTTACCTGGTGTTGGAGGACTTGGTGAAAACTCACCAAGCCTAATAAGAGACAAGTGTCGTTCTTCTGTTCCAGACCTTTCTGTCTGTAAACACTTGCCTTTGTCCACTCTGTGTGATCTGGATGAATTGCAGCCCTCCGCTTGGCACAGAAGGGGAGACTTCCACAGCATCGGGTCAGACCCGACAGCACCCAGCTGTGATTCAGGATCTGCACAAACACTCCCTGACCCTCCTAGCCTAGAGCTCTGCCCAACTGGCATGTGTGTTCAGTTGACATAAAAAGGGGTCATCAATACAAAACAAGCGCTTGCCTCGTTTCAGCAGAGGATAAGACTATAGAATCCAAAACAATGACCTTGTGTGCCCTAGGAAGGAGGACATAGGCCTTAAAGAACTGTGTGCAGAAATTTGCCTTCCGTTTCATGTTTTTCTCCTTTTGGGACACCTATAAATTTTGAGTAATAACTGAAGTGTTAATTAATTCACTGTCGACTGTTTGCTGAGGCCTCAAAGCACAAACATGGCACAAAATCTCACTGCAGCGGAAGAAAGAAAGTGCAGTTAAGAATGTGCTGATTAAGTATCCAAGAAAACCCAGCATGCACCAGCACAGAATTTGGAGTCACACCAAAATCTGTATTTCCTTTGTGTCTCACTTGGTTTAAATTGCTGCAGACCATGTATTTGCAAATGATGAATGAGGATGAAATGGAATGGGTGCAAAATGCAGTGTAGATTCTTCAAGGAGATTTAGCCCATGAGTCATGCGGCAGGTGCTTGCTACCTCGGGCTCTGACGTGTGCACTGACGCTCCCACCCCTGACCGACCACGGTGTTCTGGAAGCACGGCAGCCCTCACCAAAGAAGAGCTGGGAAGCAGTACAGATTGGGGGTTTTAATCCTCAGGACCAGGAGGATTTTCCATCCCGAGCTCCGGTCTTCATGAGGAGGCCTGCACACAGGTGGGCTGAAGGGGGGTCAGGGTTGGGAGTCAGACTGCTGATTTGTTCTCCGCGGTTCTTGACAGCAGCAGTTTGGGGGCCTGTCATGGGCTGCAGGCTGCTGGGATCAGATCTCGGAACGGGGGCCAGACTCGGAACTCCAGAGAGGTCCTCAGCCGGAGGCCCTTGAAGGACAGAACCCATTTCTCTCTACTCGTGCCAACACTTCTGACACCAGATGCGTGCGTTTTCCACACCAACAAATTCTTCACTTCCCAGGAGACACCAGCTTGGTGTGCTACGATTCACCTTAGTTCTGGCACTAACCACCCAGCGTTGGCCCAGACCTGGACTCGGTCCCACCGCCCAGGGTATCACCTGTGATTCCGACCAACCAGCTATAAATCCGGAGTTTCCAAGACCCCTTCTTTGGGTCTGATAATATGCTAAAACAGCTCACAGAACTCAGGAAACCATTTTACTTACTATTACCAGTTTATTACAAAGGATATTTTAAAGGATACAGATGAAGAGGTGCATAGGGTGAGTTCTGAAGGGATCCCCTTGGAATTTGGGATACACCACCCTCCCGGCACGTGGATGCATTTTTGTTCATCAACCCGGAAACTCCAAACCCTGCTGTACAGGGCTTTTATGAAGGTCCCACTCCTTAGGCGTGCTCCATTAAATCACTCCAGCCCTCTCCCCTCCCTGGAGGTGGGAGGTGGGGCTGAACTGTACCACCCTCTGTCCCATGGGTGGTTCCCACATCAGCACGAAGACCAGGGAAGTTTGGTCAGGGGTTGAGGACGTGAAAGCATCCAGCCACGTCCAGGAGGGCTGCATCTCCTGGAACCCCAGCACCCTATACTGAGGGCACCACCTGACTTCTCAGGCCCCGACAGTGTGGCTGGGTGGGCGGTGCCTCTGTGACCACAGCAGCTGGGGACGGCTTCCCCGTCCTCCACACCTTCCTGCTCCTGGTCCCTCCCATCGCAGCCGGCAGCCCCCAGCACCTACCTTCCTGGGGTGCAGGCTGAACAGGGAGCACTTGAGACCAGGCCTTGACCCGCAGCAGGGCTGGGGCTGTGGAGTCCAGGGTGCAGAACCAGGAAGTCTGTGTCTCACAAACCATGTGACACGAAACCCCCATCCCCAGACTTGGGACAGGAGCTGGGTGGACACGGCCCAGCCCACATGGCCCGCCTCCCCTTCCCATGTCCCTGTGCCCCCAGCCCCCTCCCTGGCCCACTGAGGCTCCCCTTCCCCCTTCCCATCCTGGAGAAAACCCAGAGCTCTTAGGACCTGGGGGTTTTGGTTCCTCTGAATTAATAGACTTATCTTTAGAGCAGCGTTAAGTTTACAGAAATGTTGAAAGGTAAGTATAGCAAGTTCCCTTGGACTCCCCCCTCCCCCCATCTCCCCAGACAGTTTCCCCTAACCCCAAACTGATGTCAGTGCCATGCATTCGGTGTAACGGATGGACCAGTGTTGGCAGCGTCCGCGTCAGGCCTCACTGTCTGTGCACCTCCAGCAAAGGTATCATGACATCACCTCAGCAGGCAAAACAGTCTCTCTGCCCTGAATCCTCTGTGCTCTGCAGATTCGGTCCTGCCCCGCTCCCCAGGTCTCGGGATTTAATGTAAGCAGCAAAGTAAAGAGAGAGGCCAGGCAGAATGAACAAACCCAGCAGAACTATTTATAAGCGGTCTCCAGGGGCCCCGGCGTCCGCAGGTGTGGACGCCAGTCTCTCTCTGGGTCCCGTCCTGCTGGAAGCTGCCTCTCCAGTATCTGGCTGTCTTCCCCTTCCCTGTGAACCCAGAGCCGCCTAACAAGGCACTCTGCACTGCAGCCTGCTCTCCCACTCCTTCCGTACTTCCTCACCCTTCTGGAAGGCCAGCCTGAGCATCAAAAGTGCAGCCAGGGTGGGGCTGCGTGGCTCAGTTGGTAGAGCATGTGACTCTTGATCTTGGGGGTGTGACTTCAAGTCCCATATTGGGCATGGTGCCTACTTAGATAGATAGTTGGATAGATGGATGGATGGATGGATGGATGGATGGATGGTTGGTTGGATGGGTGGATGGTTGGATGGGTGGTTGGATGGATAGATGGATGGATGGATGATGGATAGATGGATGGATGGATGGAAAGATGGATGGATGGATAGGTAGGTGGGTGGATGGATGGATGGATGATGGATGGATGGATGGATGATGGATAGATGGATGGATGGATGGATGGGGGATGGGGGATGGACGGAGGGATGGATGGATGGATACATGCACACAGGCAGCTGGGCTGTGATGGGCCTCCAGCTTCCCCCTCCAGGTTTCCAGGCACCCCCCCCCAACACCTGCAGCAGGAAGCTTCCAGCCTACCCCACCCCTGCCTCTGGCCCTGTCACAGGCCTGCAGGGCTGAATGTGGCTTCTGTGGACTGTGAGGCAGGTGAGCAGGGGCCCCTTCCCACAGGAAGAAGGCATTGGGAGCTGCTCGGGCATCCCCCAGCCCCTCACACTGCTGTGCCAGAAACTCAGAGGTAATGAAACTAGGGGTTTGTCCTGATGCTCGTGTGTGCTTTGCCCTCGGGACAGGTGCTGGCATCGATGGAGTGGAGGAGATCAAGCGGCATCCTTTCTTTGTGACCATAGACTGGAATGTAAGTCGTACAGCACGGGGCCCACCACACATGGGTCACAGGGAGGTGAGGTGGAGGGCGCACCAGCTTGGTACAGACCAGAGGGGAACGTGGCCCTGTCCCCTGAAGGGGTGCCCTCTCTCAGGAGCCTTCTGAACAGGCTGCCATTTTACAGGCACAGACCAGGGACCACCTTCCTGCAGCGCCAGGCCTGAGAGCCCTTTAACACTTGGCCCTTGAGAGACAGGTTCCGATGACCCTGCAGCCACTCCCACCGCTGAGGACAGAGCAGGGATCTCCTTCTGCTCAGCAAGAGGCTGCAGGAGCCCCTCAGGTCTCCAGGCCCTGTGGGTCTCCAGGCCTCGTGGTTGCAGGGCCACTGGGTCTCTGGGTCTCTGGGCCCCTGTGGGTCTCCAGGCCGCGGGGTTGCTGGGCTGCTGGGCCACCTGGTCTGCAGGCCCCTGGGGTTCCCCAGGCTGCCGGGCCAGGCTGTGCAGGCCTCTTCTGTGTTGAAGGGCTGCGTCTCGTACTCTGTGCTGCTCTCCCAGCCTCTGGTTTCAGGCTCAGGCCCACCCAGCTGCCACTCTCATAGAGTCGCTAAAGAAAACAAACATCCAGACTGTTAAAGACAAAGTTGGTGACGCTCGTTAGCGACGTAAGGAAGACCTGCATGGTGATGAGTTCAAGGACCTGCATGGTGATGAGTTCAAGGACCTCCATGGTGATGAGTTCAAGGACCCGCATGGTGATGAGTTCAAGGACCTGCATGGTGATGAGTTCAAGGACCTGCATGGTGATGAGTTCAAGGACCTGCATGGTGATGAGTTCAAGGACCCGCATGGTGATGAGTTCAAGGACATGCATGGTGATGAGTTCAAGGACCCGCATGGTGATGAGTTCAAGGACCTCCATGGTGATGAGTTCAAGGACCCGCATGGTGATGAGTTCAAGGACCACGGGGACAGGGCCTGCGGTCGGTGGAGAGATGGGGCTCAACTCTGAGCAGCTGGGGGCGGTGGGATTAATAGTGGGGTGGGGGCTGTGGATGGAAAACCACTGGGAGGAAACACGGGGGTGAGGGGCTCTGGCTGAAGCGACCTCACAGGACTTCTGCCGGACACAGGCCTGGGGTCCAGACATCACCTGGTGCAGGGAGGGCCCATCACATGTCGAGCCTCGGGCCCCAGTTCTCCAGGCTGATGCCACGCTGCCGCTTGGAGCTGGCTGCTGGCCAAGGGGCTCCCGAATCTCATTCGGACCCGCCGCTCGGAGCCGCCTCCTGGCCCGTCAGCGTGGGGAGCAGCCAAAGCTGGGCTTCGTGTGCCAGGAGGATGTCCCTCTTCGGATGTCAGTGTCTTCCGGTCCTTTCCTGATGCGCACACAGCAGGCATACTCGGGGGGAGGGGGGGCTCTGTTCCCTGAGCTGACAAATTAGCCTCGAGAGACTCTAACAGAAGACAGGTGTATATTACATTAATGTCCTCTCTAGGACCGAGGCTGTTAGCGGTGTTTGCCTTGCTCCCTGTCTTCGTCCTGTCACCTCCGTGGGTTCCAGCAGCAGGGGCGCCATGGCAGCCCGCCCCCAGCCCCCAGGGTTATGACCTCTGACAAGGTGCTGATACGGATGCTGGATGGAGCCAGCTGTTCCTGGAGCTTCTGACCTTACCCTCCTCTCTCTTCCTCTTCTGAAAGTCGACCCACTGGGAGAGGACCAGCTTCCTTAAAACCCGCTTCTGTAGTTCTGATTATGCAGCTTTTACGGGGTTAGGATTCTTTTCAACACTGAGACTACAGAAAAGCACACGAGATGCTGGCACACCTGTGACCTACCCCCCCAGGTGCTCCTGTGACCTCCTTGCCAGGTATCCCTGTGACCTCCCCACCAGGTGCCCCTGTGACCTCCCTGCCAGGTGCACTGGTGACCTCCCCGCCAGGTGCACCTGTGACCTCCCACCAGATGCCCCTGTGACCTCCCTGCCAGGTGCACCTGTGACCTCCCGCCAGGAACACTGGTGACCACCCCGCCAGGTGCACCTGTGACCTCCCGCCAGGTGCACTGGTGACCTCCCCAGCAGGTGCACAAGCCTGGTTAAAGGACCAGGTCAACATCAGCTTGCGTTCAGGAAAGTGGACGGTGGAAGCAAAGTGCTTGCCCATGAAATCTCTTTTTCCTTAGCTTCCTGGAATGTAGACTTATAAGGAGCTCGGTCATCCTCAACTCACAGATGGGCACCTGGAGATCTTTCTCGGTCGATTATTTCTGCGTTCCATCCAGCACGGAAGCTCAGCTGTGCCTGTGGTGATGAGGCCTCGGGCCAGCCGGCTGCGCCCTAGCCCTGGAGGGCCAGCATGGCGCCGCGGGCAGGAGCCTCAGAAGCTGACCCCAGGGGGCACGGCCCCTGGTGCCCCGACGGGCGCTCTGCCGCGGGTCGTCGTCTCCCGCCCACAGACGTCAGGGTAGAACCGCACGCCCCCTTCTGTTATCACTCGCTGTTCCCTGTGTTCAGCCATGCTGTTGACCACGTTTCGGGTGCTTCCAGGACACGGACACAGAGCAGTGGCCGTGACACCCCGGGCTTTACAGCCTGCTCGGGAGGGCGAGGCAGGAATCGAAGGCTGTGCCCTAAGTCACAGAGAGAAAGCGGCACGGTGAAGAGAGCCGCTGAGGGGAGGGGTGGGGCATCGGAGCCGAGCCCCTCCCCTGCCCCTCCCGCCCCCACGCTGGCCTCTCCACGCACCTGTCTGCCGAGCACACCGGCCCTCCCGCCCCCACGCTGGCCTCTCCACGCACCTGTCTGCCGAGCACACCGGCCCTCCTAGCCCCGAGTGCCCCTGTGACTCACTTATGTTCTCCTCCTTATGGCTTTTCTGAAAAGCCAGCTCCTCGCTAATGTCTGTCCCAAGCCTTCCCAAACGCAGCTCCTCGCCCAGCGCCCTGACTCCCCTGACCTTGCTGCATCCCCGGCTCCTCGTCACCGTCCAGTGTCCGGCATCACGTCCCTTATTCATGGTGCTGATTAGGAGTCTCCGTCCCCTGCTCCTGGAATGGAAGCCCCAAGGGTCAGGAGTCACTGTCAATGTTGGGTAGAGACGTCCCCCGGGCCTCCGAGGCAGCCGGGCTCAGAGGAGGCCCCTGACAAACAGTGAATGAGCGAGGGAGCGAGGGAGCGAACGGGACAGGCTCTCAGGGCAGGAACCCACTTCTCTCCCTCTCTCTCCGGGGTACACAGCCCTCGCCGCCCGCAGAGATGAGAAAACAGGAGAACAGGGATGGTTGGGGCCGGAGATGGGGACGGACCGTGTGGGATGGGAGACCCTCGGGCTGCAGCTGGGCGGAAAGGGGAGGCCCGGCCTCACGGCTCTGGCTACCACTCAACACAGCAGCTTGGCTTGAAGGATCTGCTTGCAAGTCGCTGCAGACAGATGCTTCTCTCATCCAAGAAGGGGCGCCCCGCGAAGAAGTGGGCATGTGGAGGAAAAGCCAAGACAGCTTTGTGAAACGGTTGGAATTTTCACAGCACGATGATGACCTTGAACACTGTGCAGGTTGGGCTAACTAACATGCCTCCTGGAGAGCCCAGGTCCGCAGGAGCTCTGAGCAGAAGCCGGCTTCTTTCTGCAGGCATTAGCAGCCACCCGGTGAGAGTCCGGCGGGGAGACCAGCCCCAGTGTGCACGGCTCGTCCCGTCTCTGCATCTAGGGCCAGGTTCCTGCCAGGGCAAACACGGTCACTGGATATCTGCACCAAGAAGGTGGCATGCTGTATTATTTCAAAGGAATCAGACTAAAATTGAGGTTGGGAAGTTTCTTTTGTTGCTTTTAGCATTTAATTCCCTTTTGTTTCTGAGAGAGGCCCTTCAGATTCATGGGGACCAAGCGTACGTAACTGTCGCTTCTGTATTTGCCCGAGGATGACGAGACAGGGAGAGAGGAAAGGAAGGATCTCATTCCATCCCGAGCCCTGAATGAAAGCAGCCAGGGAGTGGTTAAGGGAGAAGAGCTCCGAGTCACCACTTTTGTGCAAATTCACTTATTTCGTAAATAGTATTTGGCGCTTGTCCGTGTCCAGGTGAGCAAGCTGGCTGTCCATGCTATGGCAACGGAACACACAGCTGTCCTCAGGTTGCTCCACGGCTGCACGAAATGTCTTGTCCAGCCACAGAAGAGGTGTGCGGCGTGGGTGTCCCGTCAGAGACCCGACACAGGCAGGAGCTGGTAGGTGAGGTGACATATTCCCAGCAAAGCTCTCCTCGGGACCACAGCCTTCTCTCAGCTGCGGCAGGCCTTCCCTGGAACCAGACGAGTGACCCCCATGTCCACCCTCCCTACCCAGCCGTGATCAGCTGGTCAGCCTTGGCCCCCACTCACACACCGAGCAAACGGCAGGCTTGAGCCTTGAGCCTCTCAAGCGTGGGCTTGAGAAAGCAGACATGAAATGCGAGGCACTGACCGGCAGCCAGTGCGTAATGATACCAACCCCCTGTCCAGACGTGCCCATTCTGTTTCAGCAGCTTAGATAAGAAAACCACAGCACAGTAGCATTTGCAAAAACTATGAATACCGGAAGGCATTCCCTCTGCCCTGCTGATGCTCAGGACGACCACACAAAGCCATTTCCCTGACCCAGCACAAACCCAGTGCCTGCCTGCCTCGGGATCCACCCTGGAAAATAGAAGGATATTTATTTCACTTTCTGCTTCCCTCTGTGACCCAAAACTGCCAGGAGAAATTTTCAGGTGACCTGCTGGAGCGGAATGAGTCCATCACAGCAGATGTGGGGTTACTGCCCCCGTCTGTCCTGCTCTGCCATTAACTTGTCTGCAAAGCCGAGCAAATAAAGGGCCGCTGAGGAGCGGTTCTTCCTGAAAGCTGCTCTGTCTCATGAGCCGAAGGAAAAATTACAGTTACAGCCCCGAGGCCTTGGGAGAGGGTCACGGGGAGTCCCACACATACACCACGTTTACTCTGCCCCGTCGCTGCGTTAAAGTTCATCACCACAGGCCACGGGAACCTCCTCCCACGCCCTGAGGAAGACCTCCCGCCCAGCCTGGCGCCCCTCGCCATGGGACCGACACCTGCTGAGCCAGGCTGGGACCTTCACTGTACCTGTTCAGGGCCCGTTATCGCGACGACTTCTATTAATGCTAGGAGCTTGTGCTTGAGTTGTTCTTTTTACATTTCTGAACCCTTCCAAGGGTACCCTCAGTGGTTACTCAGTGCTGTGGGAGGGACACCCAGGGAAACCAAGACACAGAGCAGTGAGAAAAGAGCCCAGGGTCCGTGGGTGAACGGGCAGCATGTGCCAGAGCCCCCTCCCCTTGCCGGTCATGTGTACCAGCAGCAGCAGAGGGAAGTCTTGCCCACAAGACTGTGCAGAGTGGATTTTAGGGGTTCGGTTCCCAGGAGCGGTTGGCTGCTGGCCAGGATCTCAGCGCCTGTGTCAGTGGCTGAGGGAGCTCCTCCCACTGCCCAGTGGAAAGATTTCTATCAGTTTATTCCCACGTTGAATACACCAGCAGAACTTCTCCTTTCAAGGAGCCCAATAAGACTCTTCTTTCAGTGAATAACCGCTCCTCGGCTCTGCAGTGTTGTAAATCCAGATACTTTGGCTGGAACGGCTTTCAGCGGGGGGAACCTGTATAGACAGAGTCCTGCCACGTGGGCCACCGACCCATCAGATCCCCCGGGTGCACTGGGGCCATTTGAATTCTCCCTGTTACCCTTGCAAGTCTGGCATCACTCCACAATATTTCTGCGTTGCTATTTCAGGAATAATCTATAGCAGTGCCATTTCCTAATTTTGAGATGCCTGGAGCCAAAGCTGCCTGCAGAAAGCAGATGTTAGGTCCTTGACCCCGAGCTAGAAGCAGCTTCCTATTGCATTACCCAGTCACCATTCTCAGCGTGCCCCCTGGTTCTCCCCTTCGTCATCGGAAGGTCGTTTAGGTATAAATAGCCCTGGTGCACCTGCTCAGAGCCTCCTAGCGCATCCCGGCCTGATGTGTAATCTGTTCCCATGTGGCCATGACTTGTGTTAGCCTAAGATCCTGGGACAAGTAAGATGATTTAAAGTGCTGCCTGAATTTGATCATGAGACCCCATTCTCTTTCCATCAGCGTGGGATGGATTGTTCTAGAGGCTCAGAGAGGGGAATCTAGGTCAGAATTATAATGCATCTCGTCAAGCTCAAAACCTACAAGAAATGCTGCCGCCAATCACTCTTGATTTAACCCTGTGTACGGCAGTTTACATTATAAAATGAGAAGCAAGATTACTTTTTCCCTAAAACCTCAAACCCACTCCTAGGTTTGGACACAGAGAAAGAAAGCAGCTGTAATAATAACGCATTCCAAAAGTTGGTCAGGAGGAAACTGACCAACTTTAAGACTGCATAAGGGAGCTATCCAGAGAGTGGAGGGCACCAGGGTGCCTTATGCAGCCCTTTGCTACCTGCTGGAAACCAGGATGAAACCACAGCGTCCTCAGGGACTGGGAGGGTGGTGTTCTGGGGCCACCCTTGCACAGGCTATGCTCATAGGCAGATCAAGACCAGGGACCGGTGTTCTGAGGACGGGGGGGCCTGTGAGGGAACTCGCCCACCAGCAAGCCCTTGTTGGGCTCTCCTCCACTCTCCCTCCGGTCAGTTAGGATCTCCTTAGTGAGGCACAGGCTTCCAGAGGAGGTTTGAAAGCACAAGGAAAAGCAGGCGTCCACATGCACAATGCCCAGTGAAGCTGGGGTCTTCCTACGCCCTAAGCGTGCTGTATGATGGCTGGGTTCTGTGACCGGTCCAGGGGGCATGCACCGGGCTGGGAGTGCAGTGGGAAAGAGGGAATTGGGACTCTGCACCGGGCCAACAAGCATGAGCGTCCTGGGGCGGGAGAAGGCAGGAGGTACCACATCCTCCTTTGCTCCCTGAGTTATCGCTAAATACTTGAGTTGAAGGGGGCAGTAGTCTCCACCCAGATGAAGCGCACAGCCGCACCGCTGCTGGGGGGCAGATGCCATTCTGATGCGTTCCTTCTCCTTATGGGTAAAGGTGTGGAAGGTGGGAGGCTCTGTCTCCCCAGGAGGTCAGCCTCCCAGCCTGCACCACTGTGCTTCTCTCGGGGGTGAGGAAGGAAGAAGTCTGGGGTAAAGCACGTGACCCCGGGAGTCAGCTTGGTCAGAGGAGGTGCCGGTGTTTTCTTGGGCTGCTTGGATTTGCAAAGCCTTGCTCTCCTCCTCCATGGGGAGGGAGGGGTAGAGGGATATGGCAGGACAAGGAGCAGACGTGCGCAGGTTTCTGCAGGGAGGGAAAGGGGGCTCGGGAAGTCACCTTGACCTCCCCGCCCTGCTTCTTATCAAAGCTGGTGTACAGTTATCCGGGTGGTGGGCGGACGGCAAGTGAGCCTCCTGGGGTGTCTCGAGCACAGCAGAACCGTGAGCGGCGTCACGGCCGCTACCCACCTCGTGTCTGCACACACACCCAGTCGTCACCGCCCATGCCTCCAGGTCCTGCTCCGTGTCCCGCCGTGGAACAAAACTGCTTCGGTTGAGAAGCCTGGAGTTCAGGGACGGTTTTGTCTGCAGCCGTAAGGCTGGGGGCAGGGCCTGGTCTCCTGTTCCCAGGGGTCCTGTGTTGGCAGAGCTGGGGCGAGAAGAGAGCGGAAATGTACGACCTTCAGCTCCAGGGGCAAACGCCTCACCTCTCGTTTGGATTAAGTGACAGCCAGCGCTGCGTGCATGTAAATAAATGTTCGTAAAGCAGGATCTGTGGTAGCGATCTCCCCCCACCCCCCGCTCCCTCTCACTCCCTCTCCTCCCCCACCCACTCCCCCAGGTAGCAAGAGAACACATGCCTGCCCAGGGAGAGGATGTGAGTTTTCCTTGAGCAGGACAGATACTGATTTAATAATGCAGCTCAAATACCGCTGGAGCATCACCGGTGTGAGCAGAAAGGGTCTGAGTCCCGCAGGGCTGCGCCTGGGCCGTCGGTCTTGGTAACGACTAGCATCTTCATCAAGGTGCACGACTCGCTCGTCCTTACTCGATTTCCTCTGACAAGTGCATACATCAGGGAAGTTTATTCCCACCGCAGAATGCGTCACCGCGGAAAGTAGCATCTTTCTATTTCTGGAAAGAGCTTATGGAGTAAATCAATTCCTAATGAAATCGATTCACCCAGGGCAAAAAATGAGCAGATAATCGAGGGTAGACGTTTTCTTCTGGCGGCTCCCAGGTGCTCACCCTGAGCTCTGTCCTTGCACGCCTGTGGCTCGTTAAACCCGGGGGGCCCAGCGGTCACCAGCCTGGACACAGCTATTGTTCTGTCTGTCACTCTTGCCAGTTTTCCGTGGCCGCCTTGGCTTCTGGAAGGGTGTGCTCCCAGCAGGGATCGGAGCATCGCACCCTCCTGCCGCTGCTGGACCTTCCCTCACCACGAGCGCTGCTCTAACGGGAAGAGTCAGGATGCCCTGGTCCTCCCCCGCCAGCCCTCGCTCACTCCTGACCTTGCACAACTCGCCCAACCTGTCTTAGCCTGGGTTTCCTCGTCTGTAAAGTCAGGGTGATAAAATCTGCTTTTCTGTGTTATGGAAAGATTTAGAGCAGATTGGACGGGTGTCACTGCGTCCGTTTTCTGAGCCATGAGGGTCCCTGGCTCCAGACCCACTGAGCAGAAGCACCAAGAAAGGGCCTGAGGGTCCCCTCTGATCAGGCAGAACTGGGAAAACTCGTGCTAAACGGTTGCCAGACCCCCCTCCTGGTGTCCAAGCCCTGCTGCCTGTGCCCCAACCCGCCAGGCTCTCGGCACGCTTGCCAGCGCCGCGACTTCCGTACCCAGGGCACGCCGACGGACCCAGGACTGTGATGTTCTGAAGTCCACCCCATGGCTGCCCCACAGCCTCAGCCAGAAGTGGCACCCTGAGGCCCCCGCACCTCTCCATCACTTCCCCCACTGGCCCCAGCTTCCCCCTCCTGCCCACACCCCCTTCTTCCCCATCTGTGGCTTTATCCAGCTGGTTCCCAGGCCTGCTTCCAAACTGTCTTGTTCCTGAAGTTGACTCTCCCCAAAACAATACACTGTTGCCTTTCCTAAGAGCATTGAAAGCAACATCATCAGGTTGGAAGGCATTTTCAAGAAGGCCAACATCAGAGGGAAGCCGTGAGGGGACGTGGAGTTTCTGTGCATCAAAGGTCAGGCCCATGACCTAAGTTCAGGGCCGCCAGATGTGGCCGTTCTGGAGAAGCGCTGATTCTCCCCCTGGACTCGGCTGTTCTCACGGGCTCATCCAAGTGCACAAACGCGTGTGAAGGAACGCAAAAGCATGACTCCGCCCACTTGAGCAGAGGGCTCTGGACCCCCACACCTGGGGGTCCCAGAGTAGGTGCCCAAGGGGAGTGCTACAGCCCCGGTCACAGGCTCTGGGAGGTGTGTGAGGAAGGACCTGGTTCGTTCTAGCTGGGGGCTCTCCCGGTGTCCCCCAGGCGCGGGCCCCCCACGGTGGCCAGGGCGGGGAGGGGGCGCCAAGCAGCAGGGGCTCTTCCCTACCGTTCCCCGACGGGGGGCGGTGCTGGTAAGACGCAGCTGTTCTGTCAGATTTTACCTGAAAAAATTTTTCAAAAAAAACCAAAACATTCTGCCCCCAAAAAGTTTTTAAAACCTCATATGGCCCTTAATGAAGAATACTTAGCATGTGTCCAGACCCTCATACCTTCAATTATGGCTTTTATATCAAATATCTTCTATAATCTCCACACATAAGAGACACTGTGTTTTCAGTGCGCTCGTACATGGGTCAGAGTATACGGGGTGCCGGGCGCAGGTGCAGACCGGGGGGGTGTGCGGAGCCCGTCTCCCCGCCCCCGCGGCCAGCCCTGCTCCTCTGCATCGTCCTCCCGGGTGCTCTGTGGCTCCTCCTCAGCGTCCTGTCTTGCTCTCCCCGCAGAAGCTGTACAGGAAGGAGATCAAGCCGCCGTTCAAACCAGCGGTGGGCAGGCCCGAGGACACCTTCCACTTTGACCCCGAGTTCACAGCACGGACGCCCACAGGTGTGCACCGGCCGTGAGTGCCAGCGAACCCGGAGTTCTGTCCCCCTGTGGGTCCTCCTGCTCCCCGGCCCTTAGGGAGGGCGACGTAGCCAGGGGGTCTCAGGTCCGAGAATGCCTCCATGGAGGGTAGCGGTCGGTTCTGACTTTCTCGTTCTCTCTGCTCCGCCGTCAAGGTTTAAGTGAGAGAACCAATTCTCAGTCCCCCTCCCGGTAACAGCTGGTTTGGAATCATGCAGGGGTTCTGCGGATCCCCCTCTCCTGCTGCCTCCTGTTCTGAGCTGCGATCCGGGGACCACTTCTTTCGGGCACACACGAGCAGGGGGCCTCAAGACAATGGAAGTGTCTCCCGTAGTTAGAGGGTCTGGGGGAAGAGGCAGGCTGCGGGTGATGTCTGGAGCGGTGTGAACTATAGAACTTACTCGTGCAAACCGCAAACACCTGTCAGAAAAGCCCTCTCAGCTACTGGATGTCAGCACAGCCGACGACACGTACTTTCATGAAAATCGACAGTCACTCTCGAGGTCTGTCAGACTCAGAACTGGCCAGCTCCCTCTAAAAGTTACCATTTTGTGACACTGATGAGTTAATTTTTTGGCGGTATGGGAATTGTCTTGGGCTGCTCAGGCTGCCATGACAAACGACCATCCTGGGCACCTCTATCAACAGACATTATTTCGGTTCATGGGGAGGGCTCTCTTCCTGGCTGGCACACGGCTTCCCACGGTCTTATTCTGTGCTCGAGGAGGAAGAGCGGGCGAGGTCCCTGCTGTCTCACCCTCTTCTTATATGGACACCAGCACCATTGGATCAGGTCTCATGACCTCATTTAACCTTCATGACTTCCCGAAAGACCCCGTCTCCAAAGACAGTCACATGGAGAGCTAGAGCTTTAAACTACAAATTTGGGGGGAACATGGTCAGTCCAGTCCGTAGAGTATGTTATTTAATGGTGTTATGTGATAAAAGGGGGGGGGAAGAAAATCTCCTGTCTATGGGGGTTCTTACTACTTTTGAATCTGAGATTTCCTATGATTTTTAAGGATAATCGTGAAACAAATAGATGGTCAAATACAAAACACTATGTGAAGAAACTTGGAAGAGAGAATCTACTTTGTTCCCTTTGAGTTAGGCTGTGGGTGCTGGGAAATAAATCCCCACCATACTAGACTAGAGAAGCGTAATTAAAACCCAGAAGGCTCCGCTGAGTATTTTTTAGAATCTGAAAACTATGCGCTGCTAGAGAGCAGAGAAGAAGCACGGCGGGTGCCAAGCCGCTCCAGATCCGGGGCTCTGCTCTCCGGCTTGCTTTGCGCTGTCTGCCTTTTTCCTGCACAGAATTTTGGCTTTGAGGTCTGCCTTCTCTTGAAAATCCCCCACGCTACCGCGGGGTGCCCTGAACATCTCCACCAAAGCACAATGGATACATCAACCTTATGCAAATCTTCAACCCCCAGGGCGCTTTGGTGTCCTCCTACTCCAGCTCAACCCAGGGAATGAGCCAGAGCCCGGCAAATGGTCAGGGCGGAGCCTAGCCCAAGAGGTTCATTAATAGCCCCTGAGGAGTGTGTGTGCTTTGCAGGGGAGAACAGGTCTATTAACTTGAACTGATGCATTTTCATCCGTGAATGGAGACTTTGCAGATCAGATAAGCACTGTCTCTGAACTAGGGGCCCAGAGTACACGGCCATGCCTCCCGTCGCCAGGGCTGTCTCCCCCTACACAGACCGAGCGGTGGCGGACAGGCTCAGGGTGATCAGATGAGGTTCAGATGGGTCTTCACGGAGTCACCACGACCGCTCACAATTGGTTGGTGTGACTGGCAGGCCTGAGTGATGGGTGGCATAAATAGAATTTAACATGCTTGAGAATCATCTGGGAGATGCTGATTTTCAGCACAGTACTTAAAAAGCAGACACATGAGTTGGATAAAAGAAAATTTAAAACTTTGATGATCCCATGACTAGTTTCTGACTAGTATGTTTGAGGGGTTTTTAAATCTTGGACGGGCACCTCTCACCAGTAAGCGCGCTCCAGTGGGCAGCTGATTTGTGCACGTCCAGGGGATAGAAACCAGCTTTAGTGTTGGCTTAAGTTTAAAAAAAAAAAAAAAAAAAGACCGTAACCCACCGCAAGGCATTCCCATTCTGCATCCAGAAATCTCACATACAGGATATGGATTATCCACTGTTTCAGAATCCCCTTGCCATAACTACCCTTTAACAGAACCATGCACTGAGCTCACGTACTTAGAAAATTCTACCTTTTATTAATATATAAATGTAGAGAGAATGATTTTTCTGTGTCCTTAGCACTTCAGTTACTACCCAGCACAAAAGCAAACTGTATGGTGTCACAAATTAAGCAAAAGTGATTGGGGAATTCAAACGAGGAAGCCCCTCCTGGAAGTTTGAATTAATTGTCTCGTTGTTACCTGCAGACTCACCCGGCGTCCCCCCCAGTGCCAACGCGCATCATCTGTTCAGAGGATTCAGTTTTGTGGCCTCAAGTCTGGTCCAGGAGCCCTCGCAGCAAGATCTGCACAAAGCCACAGTTCACCCCATCGTGCAGGTAATCCCGTACCGCCAGGCTGCTCGCCCCCAGCAGGTGTGCCCAGAGAGGCGCCAGCACCCATGTCACACGTGGGCTGAGAGCAGCCTGGGTCCTGGGGTGCTGATGTGGCGGGTACCGACTCTGTCCCCAGCCTGCTGGGCGTTACTGAGTCTCATGGTGAGCTGAGCCATGCCTCTCGCCCCTGCTCCACATTCATCCTCACGAAGGGAGAAGAGTTCTGACCAGAATGTCCCTGGGGTGTGTGTGTGGCTGGAGCCCCCGACAGGCGGTCAGACGGGGGCGTCCTCACTGTGTGGATCGAGTCAGTACCCCAAGAGAGTAGTTTGGTTCGTAGGGGCCATTTCTCTGTTGTGAAATGTATTGTTTGGGAAATCAATTCAGATGACATTTTTAGGAGTTTTCCACCTGACGAGTGTGACCAGATGCAGAGAATTCTAAGAAGGAATTGTGATTGCATTTTAAGGACAAAGTCAGGGGAAATGAGGTGGCATTCGATTTCCGTATTTCTTTCTCCTGGGCCTTTTGGGAACGCACCGTGTGTCTAACGGGGACACTCGATGTGACGGTATACACCGCATACGAGGTGTGATTGGTGGCTTTCTGTCTGTGCTCTCAGTGCATAGGGTGGAGGCTTGTGCATACGGGCACAGCTGGGGCGGTGGCTGGGACATCACCTGGGGGGGCGAGTTCCAGTCAGATTCGGACACCAGCCACCACTCTGGCCTCAAGCATCCGAACCATGCACCCATTATCTGCAGGGCCTTCCGCACTCCCACCTCCAGAGTCTCAGACTCTGGTAGTATGGTCTAAAAATTAAGCTCATCCCCACAAAGTTAGGATTCAGATCTGGAATCATTGCTGACCAGCAGCATTACCTTCATGATCCGTTATCCCCTGACCTCGGTGACCTCGAGGGCACCATCCGGGACCTCCCTTGCTGCCCACGTCCTGTGTGCCCGCGATTGTGCCTTTGCCCGAGTGAGCTCTGACAGCAGTCCCTGCCCCGGGTCTCTCTCCACAGCAGTTACACGGGAACAGCATACACTTCACCGATGGCTATGAGATCAAGGAGGACATCGGGGTGGGCTCCTACTCCGTGTGCAAGCGATGTGTGCATAAAGCTACTGAGGCAGAGTATGCTGTGAAGGTAAGACCACGCACCTGCGTGAGCCGTGAGCGGCGCCGCGTGCGGGCTCCACGTGCCCTGAGCCGGCAGGTCTGGCTGAGCCGGCCAGCCTCCTCCCCATGCGCCGTCCCACAAGCTCTAATATGACGGAGTTCAGTTTGCTTTGACACCAGGTCACCCATTCAAAAATTATTTTGCAGATCATGAATATTTTGAGTTTTATCCGACATATAAGTACTGACCACCTTTAGTAGCTTTATGTACAGTATGCCCTGAAATAAAAGCTTTGGGTGCTTAGTATTCCGGAAAATACAACTGGGGGACAGGCACAGTGTTGTTTGAGCGCGCTGGGGGGTGGGGAGAGGAAGAAGCTACAGTCACCGAAAATTAAATCAAAGAAATGAATAGAGGCATACACTGGTAATATCTGTGCAAACTTAATCAGAGCGCTGGTAGTTTTACTCGCAACCATCAAGAAAAGTCAATAGTAAGAATTATCTAGAATTATCTAGAATCCAATCTCTACATAATACCTTTAGCTTCTGTAATTGTTGCTAGGTTTGATATTTGATCTGGAAATCCCAAACACCAGTTTCTTGAATTTTCGTGTTGGGGAAATGTGGACTAAATCTAAAGCTTCCGGCCAAAAGCATAACCTGATGTACGTAAAAAGCATAAACTGCGCATTCTCTCCACAAGACAGCCAGAGATGCTTTAACCCTGCTGCTTCCCCACTGAACTGACCTCGAGACTCTGGAGAAGCCGGGTCCAGCCCTGTGGCGTCAGCCCGGCCAGACCCAGACGTGTCTGCGCCACGTGGCGCTGCACCTGCCCTTCACCGAACATTTGGGGAAGTATGGAACCTGTCCAGCAGCAGCGTAAAAGGAGCGCTTCCTTCCATTGTGATTTTCCTAAACTCAGAAGAAATTGTTTGAAGTGATGCCTGTGGGGGAATGACCCCGTTCCTTTGCAGGTCACCCATGCCCCGTGCTTTTTGCACTGAGAAAATGTTCAACTCTTGTCAAAAAAAGACACCAGCCCAAAAAAACTAGGCCCTTTGGTCTAGTTGGGGTTGGAAATTGATGGTTTGTTGACAAATGTATCCTGAAGTTCTCAAGCAGGAAAGAATGTTTGAAATACAGAGTTGCACAGACTCTCAGCGCTCGGCCTGCCCGGAGTCTGCAGCACCGTAGCCGGAGCCGAAGGAAGGGGTGCGGTACAGTTCCCGGAGCGGTGGGTCCAGGTGCACAAGCGCCACTGTCTGGCCCGGTGTCCGACAGCAGGTGCGTCCTGGGCCCCCCGGGAACTCAGGTGGTGTCGCCAGCAGTGACCGCTGCAGAAGGGGCGTGCGGGGCTCCATGCGTTTCTAAGACTTGGGTTGATGAGGACTTTCAGGTTTCCTCCTCCCTGGGAGCGTTCAGAGGCGTGCGTGCGTGGACGCCCCCGTGTGCCCTGCGGATGCTGTGCCGGTGGGCAGGTGCGCCCGACGTGGGGCGTGCACCTGCACTCTGCCCCCTGGACGAGAGCATTGCACGCGTGCCTCAGAGCGTAGGGCACACATGCGTGGGCGTCGGAGAATTTTCTCTGCCTGGGTCCTTTCTCACAGAATTCCTTCAGCCGTGCATCAGGTGACCAGCAGCAATCCCAGAAACAATCGCTCCTTCCAGTGAGCACGAAGAAACGCGTCTATTGTTCGGCTGGCTCAGTGACCACGATGCCCTTCTCGAAAACAGCCTGCCTCTGTGAGGCCGGTCAGCTGCGTTTTGTGCCTCTGAAAATAAATCTCCCATTGACAGAGGCAGTGGTGTGTTTCCCCGTACTGTCCCCATAGCCAGCCCTCTTATAGAAACACCATCTGAATCCGGCTTTGTTCCGTGGCTTTACCTCGGTCCCTGCATCTCCCCCTGAGGCCAACTGGGCTGGGGGCTTCTGGGGCATCTCAGCCCAGGGCCCAGGAGCCAGACGCATGGCCACAGCTCAGTGAGGCAGAAAGAAACAGGGTCTTCCTGTTCTTTTTAATTTCCAAGCCTTGAAGTTCCCTGGACAAAGTGAGCTGGTGGACCTTGCAGGGTTTGCCCCATCCTCACTGAGACCATGGTGGGTCTCCTAATTCATTGTCTGGAGGTTGTGTAAATTCACCCAGCTGTGGCCCTTTGCTGCACAGCCCCCAGGACCCAGAGCTGGACCAGCCCGTATAAGCTGCTTGTTGCAGGGACAGTAATCAGGTCCTGGGTCCTGGTTCAGATTTCCTTCAAAGGCGAAAGAACTGGCTGGAGTTTCAAGGCAAAGATCTCCGTATTCAGGATGGGCCCCTGTGTTACCAAAATGTTGTCATGTCCTACAGATCACTCCTCTTTCTCGTCTTCAGCATTTTCCAGGTAGAACATAATGGAAATATTCTTTGGCCTTTGTCTGTGTCAGCTGACTGGTGGATGAGTAGCAGTTTCCCCACTTAGGGGTGGAAGAACTAGCCAAACTAAGAACGTCTTTTAACAGCCGAGCCCTGGGAGCGTGGCAGTTAATGACTTGGCGTGCGAGCTGGACCTCAGGCCAGCAGACGCCTCTTGAGCCCCCGCCACTGAACTGAGCCCCTGCATCCCAGCTAGCACGCCAGGAGCTGGCCGGCCCAGCCGTCCAAATTCTAGTGTGCACGGAAAAGGGGGTCTGTTTCGTGTTGAGAAACAGTCCAGTCAGAGCCAGCTGGGGCCTCCTCAGCCCACTGCATGGGTGATTCAGAAACCTCCCCACTGAGTAATGAGCAGAAAAATGTAAGCAGCAACTTTGATAAACAGCAGGATGTGGCTTCCGCCTGGGGCAGTCATAATGGGGGGGCAGGTGTTGGGCTGGTTCTGCCTCCCGCGGGGGCACTGGCGATGTCTGAGACGCCCTGGTTTTCACAGCTGGGGTGGGCCTCGTGTACGCAGGCCAGGGATGCTGCGGTGTCCTGCACGGGCCGGCTCTTCCCACGATCCTGGACACAGGACTACCCAGCCCATAAAGTCGGCAGTGCTGAGGTCGAGAACCTCAGTCTAAAGCATCCTTTAGGGCTGGGGGCTGAGGGGTGGATATCTCATGCAGAAATTCCAGCGGACTGACATCTGGGAGGCAAGGGTGGTGTGTGCCTTCCCCGTTAAGCTCTGCTTACTCTTAGCAGGATGACGCTCTGACGGAGCCCAGTGCCTCCTGCACTCTACTCAGGGGCAGGGCAGGCCCTCTGGCGGATGGAGCCTGGACTGCCAGGGCACGGCCTTCCCAGAGACCGGCGGGGGCCGCCCGCAACCCCGCGCAGACCAGGCCCACAGCCTCGGACCACATGTGGGACATATTAGATCTCACGTCTTGGAAATATTGTGTTTTGCCTTAAGCTTATTTCTCTGTCTTATGGGCCCCTAATTTTGCCACTATAATTACTCTGTCATCACATTAACGACATTTAAGGCCATATGTAAACCTCTCCACCCAAGTATATTCCCAGTCAACAAGATTGTTGGTTTTACATTTATTCTCAGCTGCATTTTTCTGTGCAGCTCTTAAAATTACTGAGGCCACGTCTAGCTACCACGTGACAAAGTTAGCGCAGTACGCACACACAGCAGGGACGCAGTAAGTGTTGGTGCAGAGTCTGAATCCCTAGGCTTGGTCCTGCCCTCCCAGCCAAGGCAAACAAGGTTGGATTGCCCAGGATCTTCCGCTGGGAGAGCCTGGCCTCAGGCGGTGAGGCAGGTGCTGCCCCCCATCCTTCTCGCAGGCACCACCTTGGGCTGACTCGGCGTAGGATGTCCCACCCGTGTGCCCACCTAGTGCTGAGAGAGTGGATGGGAAAACCGGGATGTCCTCTCTTCTCTCCCGTCTGTCAGGCACGTGACAGTTGAACAGATGTGCCCTACTTTCTTAGCACGCGGAGCTGCTTCCGAAGGACAAAACCGCTCAACCCTCCAGTGCACAACTCCAGTTCACCTTTGCTTTCATAGCCAGCCCCGGAAGGCGAGGAGAGAGGAGATGAAATTGTGCAGGAGTTTGAAATAACGTGACATAGAGCTGCACAGATGGCCAGGCCTGAATACATCTTCCGTTTAAAAAATAAAGTTAACACGGAATCATTTACGACGTGCGGAAGGGAACTAGGATTGAGCAGCGCTTGAAGGGGAGGGGTTTATTTGAATAGAAAAAATCATTAGTATTCTCTCCGTCAAGGTGCTGTACTCACTTTACATGAATTGCATAAGAGGGCTGTTGGTCTCGATTTTGTTTTGGAGCCTTTGTGGTTCAACATGATCAGGCACGCATTGTGGACAGCCCAGGAAGCCAGTTTGTATAAAAAGGACTCCTGGCGTTGTGCTGATGGGAAAGTACCTAGGAACATATCAGGGCTCATTCACTATGGAAAAGCTGCCTTGTGTCAATAAATGTCTCAACCTCTCAGAAGCCTATGTAGGTGCACCGTGAGAGAGTTCTGGACAGTGTCTGCAGATGACTCAGGTGTATACCGATCTCAGGGCGCAGAACTCACATGCACACCCAAGGTACTGCTTTTGCCACCTTGATCCTTGGTTTCGAAACACAAACATCAGTAATTTCTAAGAAGCAAATGATACAACACGTGAAGTTCATGAGACCAGGAGCAGCAGGTATTAGACAGAATTCAGACTTATCATAAATTCTGTCATCCTGTTATGACGATGATAATGATGCTAACAGCAAACAGCCCTCACTGGGTGTCAAACCTGCCCAACTCAAAATGCTCTGCACGTTGGGTCCGTTGATCTTCATGGCACCATGATGCAATTACTTTCACCATCCCCTCGAGGGCACAGAGACCGGCAGGTCAACAACACACCCAAGGGCACCCAGCCTGTAAGTGGGAGAATCACCGAATGTCCACGCGCGCATGCCCTTGACCTCCCCAGGACGCTGCCTCTCACTCCAAGGGGTGGAGCCCTAAGGCTTCACTCCAGCTCACTCCCATGCATTCTGCAGCCTCCGGGTCACGAAGGACTGAGACAGCCGTGCAGAGCAGATGGGGCTGGGCAGTGGTAAATTTACAGCCCAAGTCATGGGGTCTGCAAGGAAACTGTGTGGTCTTGGTGACCATCTAGGCTCCCTCAACATTACAGTGAAGTGTTGCCGGAGAAAGTGGAGGTGCCCGAGACCCTGGATCCAGGCTCCTTTCCTCGCGTGTCGCCTGCTGTTGTGCTCCCAGCTCTCGGTGCCGTGCCTTTGGGTTGACTCCCCCTAACAATCGCGCCTGCCCTTCAGTAGCATAGTTTTGTTCTGTTACTAGAGGTACTGTAGTTTGTTTTAGCAAAAGACTCGGGTAAAAGTGAAGCAAGATCCTTAAATTTGTGCAAGTCTATGTCTCCCAGTCCTTGATTCTAGGGAGGAGGTGGGGCCGACGCACGTCTGCCAGGAGATGGGCAGGCTGTCCTGACGCGGAGCCCGTTTTGTGTCCATGACAGATGGTGACGAGAGCATTAGCGCTCCTGTGCTCATGTTCTTATGTGTATGTAAGTTGAAATCCAAAAATGCAGCATGATTGAGACCAATGTTTGACATGAATAGAGCTTGTTTTTAGAAGGAAAACTGATCGGCATGGAAATTTTAATTTTTTCCAGCAGGAAAACTCAGAGTCCTCTCGCTGTGACATTTGTTCAAATTAATTGTGCGAGAGAAGTTGTCTATGAAATCCTACGAAGGATCGCACGCTTGACTACGCTTGTTCACATATGGCATTGATCCTGGGAGCAAGCCCGTGGAAATACCCTGCCTCCAGGGGCGTGCAGCAAGCCCGTGAGCCCCTCCTCTGGATCACCACAAAGCCCATTTCCCCCACGGGACTCCATGTCCCAGGAGGGGAGCCCCCGGGGAGAGCCGGGGACGAGGAAGGTGGAGGGGTGCAGAGACGGAAGAGGAAGAGGAAAAGCATGCTGAGGACGGTGAGGCCTCGTTTCTTCCCGCCCCTTCCCGTCCCCAGCATCCAGGAACAAAAATGCACATGAGGGGTGCCTGGCGGGCTCAATCAGTAGAGCATGAGGCTCTTGATCTCGGGGTGGTGAGTTCAAGCCCCACATTGGGCCTAGAGCTTACATTGATGGATTGATTGATTGACTGACTGATTGATTAAAAGGAAGAAGAGAGAAGTGCTCCTGATACGTCCATCCCCATATGCTTCACCAGCAGAGAGAGTCCTCCTCTGCCGTCCATTGCGTCCTGGGGGTGCTGACTTAGCCCTGTAAATGTACAGCTTGTTGGGGAGCAGCACCACTGGACGCTCGTTTACCGGCCGTGGTGGGGGGCTGACCCTGGGCAGCGTCCTGCCCGCTCTCTGCAGCCGCTGGGGGATGAGAACCACAGAGACCGTTCCTCCCCACCCCTTCTTTGTGGTTCCGCCAGATTATCCGAGCACCAGCACGGAGGAGAGCAGGCCTTGCTCATCAACACCATGACTGAGAATTCCTTCCCTGAGACTATAACTCAGTATTATTCTCAAAATAAGGAACTTGATCCACCAGCGCTTTCTTGAACTAGAAGCAAGTCTAACAGTGGCAATCCCAGGAAACCGATCCCACGGAGAAGAAATTCATTCCTTGACGTTTCTAGACAAATGCTCAGAACCTCTCTCTGGGCTCTGCCGTCCCCCCTGCTCAGACTGCAGCCTGGGCTCAGGGACCAGTAAGGCTGCCTCATGGCTCAGCGTCTCTGTTAAGACTCTTCTTCTTCACCTTAAAAAATAATAATAATAATAATTCCAGAAAAAGATTTGTGGATAAAAGCAGCCGGCGCTTGCTGACAACAGGACCAAACAAATCCTGAGTCTGACCAGAACGTACAGCTGTGTGAAAGTGCGTAGGAACATATCAGAGTCAGCCCTGCCCAGCTCAGGGGGCTGGTGGAAAGCCAGCAGGGCACCTGTAGGAGCTGTACCTCCGCGGTTCTAGGACTTCCCTTCCGGGCTGGGTGCCCCATCTCCCCCGCACAACCGCCTCCCCGCCTCCGCACCTCCAGCACCCCACCTTGTCCTCTGGCTTGCGGTCAGCCCCGCCACAGGGAGACCCCACAGGAGGAAGGAAGAGCCCCCAGCTCCTGTCAGGGGCACCTTCTGTGCAGTCGTCCCATCCGGTCCTGTAACTGCCCCCGGGCCACTGGCAGGAGAGAAGAAGCTTCCTGCTTCCAGCTCCACTGTGAGGGTGATAAAACAGATTTATGCTGAGAATACACCATTTTTATCATGAAATTTTATTCAAAAAAAATGAATCTAACACTAATTTTTTAAAAAATCCATTAATGCATTTTAACCTTCTCAAATTCCAAAGACAAGGTCACAGCCCGAGAGACTGAATGAGCCCATGGGCTGTTGGAGCAGAAGGGGTCTTGAATCCCACTGGCCAGCTCACGGTCCAGGCAGTGCTTTCCAAACCCCCACGCTGCTGAAGAAGCCTTCAGAGAGGCCCTCCCTCAGAACGCTGCATTATCTGCTAGTTTCCTTCAATAATAGAAGCAATCCTGGTCCACGCTAGAACTATAATGGAGTAAAATGTAGCAAGAGGAGAAGAATGTGTCAAGAAAGGGAGCTTCACTCTGTGCTTGTTTAACAGCGCTTGTCACTGGGCTCGCAGTCCTGGGGTGCCAGGATCATCGGAGCTCGGCTGCGGGCTTTAAAGCTGAGACGGAGAGCGGAGCGTGGGCACTAGGGTGATCTATCCTGACAGCGAAGGGGAGGGACGAGGGGCATCCAGGGGCAGCATTCTAACAGTGGGTCAGATGCTGCCAAGCACTCTGCTCATCTAAAGGAAAGAGATTGAGTTTCACGTGAAGCTTCGCTTAGAGTCTGATGTGAGAGAAGGTAAAAGCAAATCTCCCTCCTACTCCGGTAGTCAAATCATGGCACATTCTCCAAAGAGCAAATATTTTAAAATTAGGTGAAACTGATGTGCAAGAACAGTTTGAGGGATTCTTCCATTTTGAGTGTCGTTTCTAATGCATGTGCTTGGGATTCACTTGGATGGCGTCCCCCACCCCCACCGGTTCCACCCTGTAGAGGTGGGAGCAAGGGCATAAGTAAACCACCTCCAGAGATGTCAGCCATTGTTGGCCATCAGAGGCTTCCCTGTTCCGAGTAGGCTTCTATTCATGGCACCTTGTCCTGTCTTTGGAAGCCACCTGTTTTCATGGGTGGAAGGATTTTATCTGTTATCCTAAGACATGGAATACAGACGCTGGGTGGCGGAGGGGAAGGAAGGTTTGTGTCTAAGCCACAGTGGCCAACTCAGCATGCACGCCGGCCCCGGCGTCTCCTGGGGAGAACCAGGCACTCTGTCCCACGTGGCGGCTGGTGTGTTGCTGCAGGGTAAGGCAGGAGATGCGCAGAGAGCCGCTCGAGGCTCATTTTGGGCAGAGTGAAGAGCACGGGCCACCCACTCAGAGCCTGCCACGGTGGTTGAAAGCACCTGCTGCTATTTGGTGGTGCCCTTGTGAGCCCCCCAAGCCCACCCTTCTCTATCCAACCCTGTAATACCTTAAAATTCATGTCTGAGGCTTGTGCCAGCTTTTTTTTTTAAGATTTTATTTATTTATTTGACAGAGAGAGACACAGCGAGAGAGGGAACACACGCAGGGGGAGTGGGAGAGGGAGAAGCAGGCTTCCCGCCGAGCAGGGAGCCTGGTGCGGGGCTAGATCCCAGGACCCCGGGATCATGACCGGAGCCGAAGGCAGACGCTTAACGCCTGAGCCACCCAGGCGCCCCTTGTGCCTGGTTTTTGTAAATGTCACTCTTAGGCTAGTTGGGGAAAGAGGATTGCCATGAACTTCTAGGCAACCGTCATTTATCCCGGTTGAGCGTGAGCAGCAGGGGAGGAGGGGGAGGAGGCAGAAAGGGTCCGAGCCTGCTGATGCCATCCCAGGGCCTCATGTCACATGCTCTGCCTGTTCCAGATCATCGATAAGAGTAAGAGAGACCCCTCGGAAGAGATCGAGATTCTCCTGAGGTACGGGCAGCACCCGAACATCATCACCCTCAAAGATGTAAGTGGGTTCATGCAGCAATGATGTTGCTCGTGCTCTCGTTTCCTCACCTGGCACCGAAGCTGGCGTTGGTCTGGCGCTGGCCTTCTCACGGTTCAACCACTGCTGCCGCCCCCAAGAGGGTGTGCTGGAGCCGGCCCCCACCGCGTGTGCCTCAGAAGCCCCCGGCGGCTGCCCGAGTTCCCGTCCCTCTGACAGCAGCCCCCTCCCCGCCACCACACTCCCACATCGGGTAACGTGGAATATAAAGGAGGAAAAGAAGCTGGTGCAAATTCTAATCCAGTTGTGTTATTGCTCGGTGCCATTCCTGAACACAGCAGAAACGGAGAGTCTGGAGTGGCTGAGACAGGGCTGGGTCGGATCTGAGACCTCAGACCAAGCCCTGGCCGTGGGGCTCCTCCCAGCTTGCTCTGCCCCTGCTGGGCAACGCGTGGTCCCCAGCGCGGGAGAGGGAAGGGGGCAGGGGTCCAGCCCCTAGAAAGCCCAGCACAGAGCCCAGGGCTGTGGTGTCGGGAGCCAGAGCGGACACAGAGCTGTCTCCTCGCCACCTTCACCCTCGCATTCCAGAATGATTGCAGCGTCCTGAACCCAAGCCCTCAAGATTTGGGGACTGCCTCGACTTCCCGTTGGGCCCCGTCAATTCCCGGAGCAAGGGGACTGCAAAATGCCAGTTCACCTCGGAGGAAAGTGTGAAACAAGTCCCTGTGTTAACCCGTGCGGAGTGAGCCAGCTTTCTCCCCTTGGGTCCCAGGCACCTCCATGGTGCTGCCCTGTCCTCCGGCCGTTTTGGTGTTTTTTCATGTGCTAAGATGCACAAGCAGAAATCAGCTCATCTGAAAACTTCTAAGTTTTCATACCACTTCCATTGTGTTGGGGTAAGTGATTCTGGGCCACAGATGCCATCGTATGTCCATTCTCAAAAGTAGAGCTTTTTTTTGAGGCATAAACTGGAAGTAAATACACCAAAATCAACTTTACATCTTGCATTGAGCTCAGAGTCAGGCAAATTATTTTAGTGAATTGTTCTGGAAACTCACTGATTCGTAAGCTAACAATTACTCGTGTTTAGGTGCTGGCCCTGTTTCCACGAGGTCCCCCAAACGCCTAGGCACTGGTGTGCAGGGAGACTGCGGCCCACGCAAGCATGTCATGGAATGTCATGGAAAGAGCGGAGCAGAGGGGTGTGGGGCTGTTGTTTAAGCTCATGAGCGTGAAGGTGGTGTGACAAAGCTCTCTTTTTCCATTGCTTTCCTGAGATAAGAGCACTGTTGCAAACGGCAGATTCTCTCTCCCTCTGCCTCCCCCCTCCCTGCTGGGCTCTGGGGTCTGGCGGCTCTGAGGCTCGTCCACGGTGCAGCGGGACGGAGGGCTCCTGGGGCCGGCTGGACATGACCCAGGCCTACTGGCCTGGACCCTGCCTGCTAACAAGACCCCCGGGCTGTGCACACTGAAGTCTGAGGAGCTCGGCTCTGGGCCCACAGCCCCAGCTCCACCTCTGAAGTTCTCCATGGCAGAGGGGGGCCGGGGCTGAGATCAGGACAAGTCATGTCAGCTGAAGTCTCACCCTTGCAAGCTCCTGGCCTCGCTGACTCATTCCCTGCTTTGCAGCAGATGATTAAAACTGGTTTTCCCTAAGCTCCGCGTCGGGTACGACTGGAATGGCCATTCATTCACTTTCACCCGGAGCCCCATTTTCACACCCGGGGGAGCACCGAGCCCCCAGCCTCTGCCCGAGCCGGGGCTGCCTCCAGGGCTGCCCTTCTCCCCCATGACAGGCAGGACTGCGCAGGCGGGGGCGGTGTGGAGGCCGCCAGGGTGACTGCACGCTCTGTTCTCCGCCCCCCAGGTCTACGACGATGGGAAGTTCGTGTATCTGGTGATGGAGCTGATGCGCGGCGGAGAGCTCCTGGACCGCATCCTCCGGCAGCGCTACTTCTCGGAGCGGGAGGCCAGCGATGTGCTTTGCACCATCACCAAGACCATGGACTATCTCCACTCCCAGGGGGTAAGCAGCCTGCGGCCACGCGGACAACATAACAGGAGAGACCAGACCAGGAGAGAGTTCCCTGGCTCCAGAGCCGGGGACGCCCGTTGTCCTGACTTCCTTCTGTATCACCGCCGCCCCTTCGTGTCTGAGATCATTGCACACATACTGTGCCCCGCAGCTAGTAGGGAAATTAAGTTTACCTGGACCAGTTATAGAGAAAAAGTATTTGGGCTGGATAACAGGACATGTTGCTCTATTTACAACTGAATCCTTAGCCAATACAAAGGAATCCTGCAGAGGACAGAGACAGTGAGAGCTCGCTTGGCCGAGGCCCTCACCGGGTTCCAGGTGCTGCTCTGTGCCCTTCATTCATGCAGCCCTGAGCTCCGGATTACACCCGCTCGCAGACCGGGAGATTAGAGCAGAGGGGGGTTAGGCATCTTGCCCAGGGCTGGTTGCACATGAGAGAGTGGAGAGCTGGGGTTCCCGCCTGGCTGTCTGCTTCCAGACCATCGCTCGGCACCTCCCGCGAAGCAGACAGCGCTTCCATGGCCCGCCCTGCCCCTTGGTCATGAACATTTAAAATGCAGCCACCGGGGCGCCTGGGTGGCTCAGTCGTTAAGCATCTGCCTTCCGCTCAGTTCATGATCCCAGGGTCCTGGGATCGAGCCCTGCATCCGGCTCCCTGTTCTGTGGATAGTCTGCTTCTCCCTCTCCCACTCCCCCTGCTTGTGTTCCCTTTCTCGCTGTGTCTCTCTCTATCAAATAAATAAATAAAATCTTTAAAAAAATAAAATAAAATGCAATAAAATGCAGCCACCTCCGAACTGGAGGATGTTCCTCCAGGACCACACCACAGGCCTTTCTGTGGTCACCCAGTGGTCTGGGAGTGCGAAGCATTTTCCCAGAGCAAACTCTAGAGGAAACCCGTGGGATGATGGTTTTTTCAGATTGGCCTCTATTTAATGAGGGAGGTAATAGGCCTGGCCCTAAACTCTCCTGCTCCCCTGCCCTCAGGGCCTCTGCCCGTGTGTGTCCCTTCAACTTCCCTCCATCTTCTGCCCCTGAGTTTTAACAGCACAGCAGGTTCCAGGCTGTGTGAGGGCACCCACGTGTGCTCACAATCAGCCTCTGTCCCCATCAGACGAAATCGCTGTGTGCCCCCAAAGAGCTGCTTTGCTTGGAGATGTCAGAATGGCTTTCGCCGCCCCCATCCCTCCTGCTCGGAGCACCCTGCGCCTCCCTCCCCCACAGGTGCAGGTAGGGCTCCTGTCGATCGCTTGATCGCTGCCCACGAGTCACCTGCCCCATGACAGAGGCTGCATGTCTGCCTCGCTCTCTCGTGAGCCCTTCACAGCACTGGAGCGTTCTGGGCACACAGTAAACATCAACCTGTAGAAGTCTTTTCATGCACGTCACCTGAGCTCAGCGCAACATTCCTTGTATATAATTCTCTCATTTGGGGTGGCTTCTTACTTACTTGAGTGTCAATACGAGAGCAAGAGATGAGGGAAGCCCCGCCCTAACGAACATAGAGTCTGAGCGGACCGGCTTCCAGCTACAGGACCTGCTCAGGGACATAATCCCAAAACACCCCTTAGGTTCTGAATGCTTCCCCCTTCCGCTTCCTGCTTCAACCCCGCCCACTGCCTTTCCAGGTGGTGCATCGAGACCTGAAGCCGAGTAATATACTGTATATGGATGAGTCTGGAAACCCTGAATCCATCCGAATCTGTGACTTTGGGTTTGCCAAGCAGCTTCGAGCTGAGAACGGGCTGTTGATGACACCCTGCTACACAGCAAATTTCGTTGCCCCGGAGGTAAGAGCTCCGAGCCGTGGATCGTTTGGTACTTCGGAGTCACCTTGATTTAGTTCAGCAGTCATGTTAGAGAAGAGAAATGAGTCAAAAAAGAGCCAGCCACCTTGCTCAAACACAGTTATTTTATCATTCTCCTATTTGTAAAATTTTTAACGGTGATGCTTTTATGTAAAATTGTTACCATGCAGTAGACCATTTGGATCAGCTCCGCGTATTTGCTGGGAGTTACTGAGAAATAATGCGGGCAGTTTGTCATATCGCCCGGAAGGGAGCTAATGGGTCACCTGTGTCACCTGTGATCAGAAATCTACCTACAACTACACAGCCAGGGGGAGACTGTTTTTGTGGATTCCCCTTGTGCCAGAGTTCTGCTCCAGACTGTTTTTCATGGCAGAAGCAAGCCAGCGCTGTGGGATTTAATATGAGGGCCTGTAGTGTTCTGCGCGGGAGGGCTCTTGGCCCGCATCCAGAGCCTCGGAGAATCTCAGCAGCACCATCTTGTACATCTGGCCCTTCTCAGGCTCCCTGGGGATGGTTTCGTTAGGCTCTGAAGTCACTGATATGTTTATGAAGGCAAACTCAGTTTCTTGCTTTAAGTAATCAACAAAACCTGAGAGGCTGCTAAAGCAGGACAGACTCGTGGCTGGTGGGAAGAGGGGTCAGGAAGGAGAACAGACATTGGATTCTGTTCAGATCCTTTTGGCTATTGGTGAAACTGGACCACAGCTGCAATGAGGCGCACAGCAAGTCCAAAGAAAGAGGTGTCTGACTCTTGATCTCAGCTCAGATCCTGAGCTCAGGGTCGTGAGTTCGAGCCCCACATCGGGCTCCACACTCGGCATGGAGTAAAGAAAGGAAGGAAGGAAGGAAGGAAGGAAGGAAGGAAGGAAGGAAGGAGGGAAAGGAAGGAAGGAAGGAAGGAAGGAAAGAAAGGAAGGAAAGAAAGAAAGAAAGAAAGAAAAGAAAAGAGAAAAGAAAGAGAAAGAAAAGAAAGAGAAGAGAAAAAAAGGAGGTCCCCAGGCACGTGGTAGTAGGTCTTCAAACTGAGAGGTAGCCCCTGCCATCGGTCGCAAGGAAGGCAGCAGGGTGCTGAACCAGGATATGGATGGGCACGGGGCCCACACAGGTGGGCTGTGAAGCCACTTTCAGGTTACCCAGATGCTATCTGTAGCCCCCTTTAACATAATCTGCTTATAAGCCTCTTTGTTGCCTTACTTGATCAATATTAATATTGATAGTATTGATTGTAGCGATTATAGAGTATCTTAAATTGGTATATTACTTTACCATTTACAAAGCACTTTTACCAATAGCTTTTACTCTTATCTTCATATGCCATATGAGGTACACAGGGTAGATACTATTAGCCACACTGAATGGATTAAAAAACAAAAACAGATTCAGTGTGTTCAAGTGACTTTTGAAGGTCACTCAGCTAGTGAGGCTCGGGCTTAAACAACCACGCTGCTGGCCCAGCACACAGCATCGGTGATACAGTGGTGGGAAGATGGCGCCCTTGCCCTTGTGTCTAAGACAACTGAACCCAGCTCTCCCGACTCCAGGTCCATGCTAAATCCAGTAATGGACAGTAATCCATGAGTATTTATGCTGCTCCCTTTACTGTTGTTCAGCTATAAATATATCCGAGGATTGCCCTCCGTTGAAGTAGGTAATCCTAGGACACATGAAAATTCTTCTGTTTTAACTGTTCCTCCGAAGATTAAACACAGGATTACCATGTGATGCAGTAAGGCCAATACCCAACGGCACTGAAAGCAGAGACAAGAGCAGCTGTTTGCCCACCCATGTACACAACAGCATTATTCACAATGGCCGCAGGGTGGAAGCAGCCCATGTGTTCGTCACGCATTCTGAACGGATGAGTGAAATGTGGTGCATTCATACAAAGGAGAATTGGCCTTAAGGAGGAAGGAAACCATGTCCCGCGTCCCACGCTGCAGCATGGACGGACCTGGGCACATCATAAGCCAGGCAGAAAAGCATAATTACTGTCTGACTCCACTCATGTCCTAAAGCAGCCAAATCCACAGAGACGGTTGGAGGAGGGTGGGAGCCAGGGG